TTTTTTTTTTTTGGGACGCTTTTCAGTCAGCTGTGGGACACAATTGCCGTGATATGCATCCGCAGCGGGCCGCAACTGCAGTTAGATGGATATAGGGCAGTCCGAGTGTATGTCCTCAGATCTGAGCGGACCCCTTTCAAGGGGGGAAAAGGCAATGCGGAAAGCGAGCGGTTTGACTAAAATATACGCGCGCCCAATCTTGAACGGAGTAGCAGAACATTGTCCTTAGTAGATGACAAGCAACCCACAGTCCCAAGGAGGAGGAGGAGGAGGAGGAGGGGGAAGGAGCAGGAGGAACTGGTAGGAAGCAAGGAAGGCGGAGAAAGGAAGGAAGGAAGGGAGCAGGGTAAGGACGAAACGAAGCTAACCTTCTCGAATTCCCTCTTCATCCTCTTGGGTCGTTGGTTCGAATCCAACCTACCGGTAGGGAGCTGCTGTGGGTTTTCAAAATTCTATTTCTACCGTCGACAGACATTCCTGAAAGGATTAAGGATAGACAGGGGGGTGAAGAGGGAATTCGAGAAAGCTGAACATCCAAGAGAGGGAGGGATTGAAAGAAAGAGCGAGCGGGGGGGGAGGGAAGAGTAGAGGGGGGGAGAGGGGGGGATTGAAAAGAGGCAACAATGCCGCCAACACACGCCGTACACACGTTCTACATGTTCAACAGACAAGGCGTGTGCCTGCATTATCATGAATGGAACCGCCCTCTCACCACCCTCAGTCCCCACGAGGATCAGAAGCTGATGTTCGGACTCCTCTTCTCCCTCAAGTCTTTCACGGCTAAGATGGATCCCATGAGGCAAGTCACTCTCTCTCTCTCTCTCTCTCTCTCTCTCTCTCTCTCTCTCTCTCTCTCTCTCTCTCTCTCTCTCTCTGCCCGCCCTTCTTCCTGTCTACGCCTACACTACCTTTCTGTCAATCTCTCTCCGTCTCACATTCCCTCCGTGCTGGAGAAGGTGCACGCTCGCCCCTTCCATATCCCCTCCCTCCTCCCCCTCTCCCTCTCCCTCTCTCACTCTCTCCCTCTGTCCCTCTCTTCCTCTCTCTGTCTCTCCCTCTCTCTCTCTCTCTCCTTCCCCCCTCTCCCTCCCTCCCTCCCTTCCCCTCCCCCGACTCTGCCCCTTGTGCCCTTGTGCCCTTGTGGCTCTGTTGCTTCCCGTCCCTTCTTCGCAGTCCAACGGTGATCCCCTTAAATCCGCTGTGCTACGCTCGTGTCCACCGTATCTCATCACTGTTTTGCAGCTTTTCATTATTGCTACTTATTTTATTTTTGGTGTCGGGCTTCTGCACAGCCCCAACCCTATCGCGCTCAACTGCAAGGCCTACTCTGTGCACGTCTTTGCTGCCAGGACTAACCTGCTCTCCGCCTTTTTTTTTTTTTGTCGGGGTGGGGGGACAATGCTACGACCTCAACCCTATCGTGCGCAGCCGCAAAGACGTGAACAGAGAAAAAGCCCTATCGGTCTTGGCCCATCGGGCTACGCTCGTGTCCAGTGTATCTCATCACCGTTTTCGTGCTTGGCCGGCCAAGCAGGAAAAATGTGAGGGGAAAAAAAAGTGAAAGATTCTGCTTGCACTTCCTCCCCCCTCCCCCTCCCCCTCCGCCCCCCAAAAAAAAAAGAGTTTATTCTTGGGGCCTAGTGCCCAAGGCTATAGATGTACAAAGTGAGATATACAGGGGTCGCAGCCCCCTGTATAGGGAGCTGCTGTGGGTTCAAACTTACATCCCAGGTGGAGCGAAAAGCTGCCTTGCAAGTCAGGACTTCTTTTTTTTTTAATAATAATAATAAACTAGGCTATGTTCTTCTTAAAATCTCCCTAGCTATGCTTGCAGGTCTCCCCTGAATAGGCTTAGGAGTAGTGGTAGGTAGGTAGTGAGAGGTGGAGGGTAAAATTAAAAAAAAAAAACGCCTTTCATTTATCCGTTTGTTTTGTGGATTAACCCTTTGGCCATCAACCAAGGGTTAAAAAAAAAAAAAAAAAACACAAGTAGCAGCGATTTCTCTCTTTTTTTTTTTTTGCCTGGGGTCGTGTGAGTGGATCGACCTGGCATCCCGGCCCGCGCATAAACGAAGCTAAGGCATTTTGCTCGATTGTATTTTTTTTTCTTTCTATTTTGTTAAATGAAATTATCCAGCCATCACTAATCGCACGCTGTAAAATGTGAACTTCTGTCTTTCCCGGAACACAACGCACCCTCGTCATGACTGTATCGGACCGGGAAGATGGCTTTGTACATTCATTCGTGATTAGGTTTTGTGTTTTTTTTGGGGGAAGACAGCAGAGTCCCTGTCGCCCGATCTCGGTCCTCTTCACTCTGCAGAGTGGGATTGTTCTCCTGACCACTCCGAGTACGGATGCTCTCAGACGTGGGACTCTCAAGGCGTGAATCCAGGCGTGAATACGGTCAAATACATCAGAAACACATTCAGGGTAATGCACGTAGGAGTAAGCTCTAAGGCAACTTTGCCTGGAGCAATTACTCGGTCCCGCCTAATTACTGTAATAGGTTAGGTGATCATCCGATCCCGACATAGCCTCTTGGCCTTCCGAACGCACGATGAAATCAATCAATCAATCAATCAATCAATCAATAATTCAATCAATCAATAATTCAATCATTCAATCAATCAATTAATCAATCCCTTAATCAATCAATCAATCAATCACTTAATCAATCCCTTAATCAATCAATCAATCAATCACTTAATCAATCAATCAATCAATCAATCAATCAATCAATGAGGCAATCGATCAATCAATCAATCAATTAATCAATCAATCAATCAATTAATCAATAGCTCTGTGCAGCAATCCGCTTGTCGATCGCCACTGCTATCATGAGAGCGCGCTCTCCTTCTCGCACAACGATTGATTGTTGGTTGCGCCTTTTTTTTGGGGGGGGGGGGGGGGGGGGGGGGGGGGGGGGGCAGTAAGAAAGGCTTAATCAGTCAGCGAGGAACCCCTTTCCCACGGAGGCAGGGGAAAGAAACACGTGGTCACACGGACGGGTAGATCGTCTTTTTTCTGTACTTGCGCCCCCTCCCCTCCCCCCCCCTCAAGGAAACACTTGGCGTTCAATGCATTTGCAGACCTCTGCGCTCTATTCGAGGGAAGACGGTACTCCATGCTATAACTTTTTTTTTTTTTTTTTACAAGCGAAAAAGAAGTTCGGCATGGATGTGCCGAAATGCAGGCCGGGCTGAGTGTTTCCGTTGTTTTTCACTTTTTTTTTTTTTTTTTTTTTTTTTTGGTCCCGCTCGGAGTTCTTTTTTTTTTCCGGCCTATTCCCTCACGAGACCCCACCCATTCTTTTTTTTGGTCCCGCTCTGAAAGATATTCCCTGGCGCAACCCCTCTCTCTTTTTTCCTTTTTTTTTTTTTAATTCCATCCTTGATTTATTTCGAACAATTCAATGAACGAGGGGGGGGATCCTCACAATTCAACCCAGTGTTATCCCGGCACAGCCGGTTTAGCTTACTCCACATACTTTCAGTTATCCATCAGAACTTCCAACATGTACTTCCAGAACTTCCAAAATATGGCAACACTCACTGCCAATAAGCTAACACTGTGTTCCAGCTACCACTACCCTTATCTACCCTTCTTACGTTCCCTCTCCTACGACACCTACACCTAATGCACAGACCTACCCTTTGGTCTGACCCGGGCCCAAACTCGGCCGAGAGCAACATTCGTTCCATTAATGATAGACTTGGCACTCTCCTACCCTCCCTGACCCATTGCAGGCTACTGCACCTGCCGACGGGAACCGAGTGCCCCTGGTTCATCAACAAATGACCACCAGGCAGAAAAACCTCACAAACCAAAATACAAGTAGCGTGACATCCCTCTCTACTTCCTAACCTACTTTTCCCAAACTGTCTATCTATCTAACCATCCTGTACCTACTTTTCCCTAACTATCTATCTATCTAATCATCCTAGGACTTCCAGTCTGCCCATCAGAGACACGGATGCCAGCCCTCCACTTTGTGCCCATGTTTCTCTGAACCACTGGAGACCACAGCGACGGTCACCTCGAAGGACTTTTCACAACCAATCCGCCTTGATCTGAGTTTTCAGAAGGTGGTGGAAGACTCTCTCCGCCTGCACTTCCTGCAGGGGTTCACCTTGGAATCTTCTGCCATTTCTGTCCAGCCAGATCGTCCAAAACATAGCTAAGCGGGCCACTTGTGCAACATATTCCCAGCGCTTGGCTCCTGAAACAATCCGGTGGTAAAGCACCTTGTAGTGCCCATCTTTTACCCATTAGATTTCTTCTCCCTGAGAGAGCCACCCAGTGACCTTCCCACCACCTCCACCATTTGTTAGAGAGTGGGCAGTCCCACCATAGGTGCTGCATTGTCTCGGTGGCACCGGCACATCTGTCACATGGGTGGAAACCTCCATTTGTGCCATTTGTCTGTCATGGAGCCATTTAGCTGTAGGGACCGCCCGGTGGGATTGAGCCAGGCCAATGAAGCCAGCTTTTGAGATGGCATCTTTGTAAGTGTGACGCACGTGCGGAGGGCACGTGCGGAGATGGTGAGAGAGAGAGAGAGAGAGAGAGAGAGAGAGAGAGAGAGAGAGAGAGAGAGAGGAGATGGACACACACAGGAAGCAGCAGCTGAGTGAAGGAGGTCCAGTCCGGCTCAATGAACGAACAATAGAGAGAGAGGAGATGGACACACACGGGAACAACTCAATGAGAGAGAGAGAAATGACCCTCCCGCCCTGGACCTAGGCCGAAGTGATATACCGGCCTAGGTCCAGTTACGGGATAACCTGGTACCGGACCAGGGTCAGGCCGACGGCCTGAAACTGGTCCGGCCTCACTGCCGGGCCGTAGGGGTATCGCTACATGATCCTCGGACCTGTGAATGGATCAAGCGATACATCAAACACGCTATCCGCTCAAATAGCGGACCCCCAAAAGGACGGCGAAAGAAACAATCCTAGATGCGGAGCAGGCTCCATGCAGGAAAAGGGATGCAATGCAGACTAAGCCTCAAGCCTAATCTATACCATAATGTCTGGTCTGTGTCGACCCAAAAAGTAGAAAAATGTTTGACCTGTGTCGGCCAAGAAAGAGAAAAATGTCCGACCTGTGTTGGCCAAGAAACGGAAAAATGTCTGACCCGTGTCGGCCAAGAAAGAGAAAAATGTCTCATGAGCCAAATAGGCTGAATATAAATCAACACCGGGGCCCTAAAGGCCAAGGAATAACTAAACCAATGTCCTCAGGCGAAAACGAATGTGGCACAGTCTCACGTGCCCTGTACACAATGCACAATACCCGAGAAAAAAGAAAGGGACTCAGTCGCATGGCAGAAGTAGGAATGGGTGGGAAGGCGGCAGGTACAGCTCTCAGAGTAAACTCCAAGGGGGCACCCACACAACCAGGTAAGGGGTCATCAGGCTCAGAGGGGGAGTAACAGCGCGACACCGGGCTCAATGGAAACCATCAAACGGGTACCGCCAGCTGAAAGGGTGGAAGGGCACTCACACAAGGGAGCACACATAAGGTGAGCCTGGAAGGAGAGAGGGTTATGCCGGCATAGACATG